TTGTAACATAGCACACAAGGAACAGTGGGTGAGGGTTGGCTTTGACTTCCGTTTTCCCTTTACAGCGCTTGGTGGCCTTTCAGGACACAGTGGTTCATTTCTCCAAAGAGGATCAGCATATCCCAGATTGATGGGCAGAGGGCTCAGCCGAAGGAGATCTCACTGGAGAATCACGGGAAGGAGGCTTCCCTCAGTAAGGATCCGTTTGTCCTCCATGAATAGATCCTCAAAGCATGAATCTTCCTTCTTTCCGTTGGTCACTACGCTGCTGGGCTCTCTGGTGGAAAATGGGTGGCCAGATCCTATGCTTTGAACATGCTTTCTGTACAGTGGTGCCCCGCTAGACGCTTACCCCGCATGATGTTGAAATTACTTTACAATGAATTTTTTGCGATCACTATTGCGATCGCAAAATGATGGTTCCAATGGGGTTTTTCGCTTGACGTTGATTAGGAGCGTGCTTTGCGAACCATTTGTTCGCTAAACGACAATTTTTCCGACTCCGCAAAATGGCTTCCTTTTGTAAAATGGCTTCCCTCCCTTCGCAAAATGGCTGTTTTCTGGACCCCTGCTTCGGAAGACAGCGATTTTAAACAGCTGATTAGCGGTTCTCTATGGGCGATCTTCGCTGGACAATGAGGTATTTCCCCATTGGAACGCATTGACTGGTTTTCAATGCATTCCAATGGGTTTTTTTTGCTTGACAACGATTTCACTTAACAGCAATTTTCCTGGAATGGATTATCGTTGTCAAGCGGGGCACCTCTGTACTCCACTGCACCCAACCAGAGCATGGCTTTCTTGCCTGCAAAATGGCGGGGTTTTAATTCTGTGGCTGGGGAGGGGAGGGTGGGCTTAGATAGCAGAGGCAAACATGAATCATAGAGGATTTTCCAGGGTTTAATGGGTCTCCCCTGTTTCTACCTGCTCATGGAAAACAGCTTGTAGGTGGGAAAGTTCTGGATATTTATTTGTTTTGTTTTTCTGAAGTACCACGTGTGAGAATCTTTTTATTAAAAAAACAATAACTTTAGTTTGATAGAGCAATACTGTACTTCATAACATGAACCCCTCTCCTGTCAGCCCCAAGGGGGTTATTGTTTCTGCTGAAATTGTGGCAAAGCTGTCTCTGCATGGAAGTGGATATGATTCTGAGTTTGAATTGCATCCTGAAAAATTAAAACTTAGTAGCAATAGACCAGTTAGTTTGCTAGATGTCAACACTGAGTAACACAAAGCAAATGTTCACAGTATGAGTGCCTTGCTCCGTTTTGTCAGGTTACCTATTTGCTTTCTGACTGGATCCCTTGCAAAGCAGAATACTACCCTTGCAAGTAACTTCAGTAGCCCTCTGCCCATATGCCAACTGGCCTCTTAACCAGAGTTGGTTGCATGTGAAAAATGTCATGTTTGTAAGCCACTTATATAGCTGCATTGATGGCTGAATAGCTTGGTGCCTTTGGTGTCTGCTGCAGAGCCAGAAGTTGGGAGTTCAGTTCCCCCACTGTGCCTCTTGTGAAGCATAGCCAGCCTGTGTGGCCTTGGGCAAGCTGCACTGTTCTAGGATGCCCCCAGAATGGACTAGGAAGCAACTTCTGAATATAGTATGACCCCTATATCTATGGGGAGTTGGTTCAAAACCGATGCCAAAAAACACAGACTATAGTGCAGCAATGGCAGACCATGGCATGCATGCCACAGCTGGCACACAGAGCCCTCTCTGTGGGCATGTGAGCCAGCGAGAAATACTTACCCGTCCTCTGATCCTAGATTTTGACAATCTCCTCTGCTGGTGCAGTGGTCCAGCGAAGGGGTGCAATGGCGATCATTACTAGTCTAGCCCAATGGGGGGGATTGAAGGACCAGTAAGTATTTTTTTGTTAAAACCACAAGCATTTAACCCTTGCAGTGCAGGAGCAATTGATTTTTTCTAAACTAAAACTTCAGTATTCAGGTTTTAATTGCAGCGTTGGCACTTTGAAATAAATAAGTTGATTTTGTGTTGCAGTTTGGGCACTCCGGCTCAAAAAGTTTCACAATCACTGATATAATGAAATCTATACATAGCATGGTCTCTGTCTCTCTATAGTGGCCAGTTCTGGTAACTTCACCTTTAGAATGACATATTTCTAGGATTTTTTTAAAAAAAAAATTTATATTTTTAGACTGTGGATAAGTGAATCAGCAGATGGGGTTCCAACTGTATTTCAAACATTTAGGATTCAATTCCAGAGTCAAATAGTTTAGTTTAGCAATGGTATTATATTCTAAAGGGAGACACAGAGTTCAGATTGGGGTGCAAAAAAGGGAGGAAGCAGTCTTTGAGATGAAAGAGGAGATGATCGCTGATGCCTTCCAAAACAAGATTTTGTCTTCTTTTATCTCAGGTAAAGAACAGGACAACTATAATAGTTTGGAAACAATTAATCATGAAAGAGGAATAGAAGAGTTTGGAAATCAAAACCGACAATAGAGGCGCACCAGAGTAGCTCATTAAAAAATGGGAAGAAGAAATCATGTGCTTTTCTGGGCTTGGATGTTTTTGAATCCATGATAATCACAGAAGGAAAAAAGAACAGGAAACAGCCCAGTCTGTAAAGAAATAATAGCTGTATGTCTAGCTTAAAAAAACATTGTAGGCGCCACATGGGACTGTTTATTAAACATCAAATAACCAAAAAATGGGGGAGAAACCCTATAAATGTATGGCTTGTGGAAAGAGCTTCAGTCACAGCGGAAACTTCAATTCACATCAAAGAACCCACACAGGGGAGAAACCTTATAACTGTGGGGAGTGTGGGAAGAGCTTCAGTCGGAGTGCAAATCTACAGTTACATCAAAGGACCCACACAGGGGAGAAACCCTATAAATGCATGGAATGTGGGAAGAGCTTCAGTCGGAGTGGACATCTATATTCACATCAAATGACCCACACGGGGGAGAAGCCCTATACCTGTGGGGAGTGTGGGAAGAGCTTCAGTCGGATTGCAAATCTACAGTTACATCAAAGGACCCACATAGGGGAGAAACCCTATAAATGCATGGAATGTGGGAAGAGCTTCAGTCAGAATGGACATCTATATTCGCATCAAAGGACCCACACGGGGGAGAAACCCTATACCTGTGGGGAGTGTGGGAAGAGCTTCACGCAAAGTGCTCACATAGATTTACACCAGAGAACCCACACAGGGGAAAAACCATATAAGTGCATGGAATGTGGAAAAAGCTTCAGCCATAGTAGTGCCCTAAGGTCACATCAAAGATCTCACATGGGAGAGAAGCCACATAAATGTATGGAATGCGGGAAAAGCTTCAGTCGGAGTGAACACCTCCATTCACATCAAAGGACCCACACGGGGGACAAACCATACATGTGCATGGAATGTGGTAAAAGCTTCAGTCGGAGTGGACATCTCCAGTCACACGAAAGGATCCACACGGGGGATAAACCCTATAGGTGCATGGAATGTGGGAAGAGCTTCACTCAGAGTGGACATCTAAATTCACATCAAAGAATCCACACGGGGGAGAAACCGTATACGTGCATTGAATGTGGGAAGAGCTTCAGTGACATGGGATCCTATGCAAAACATCGGAAAACCCACACAGGGGAGAAACCGTACAGATGCATGGAATGTGGGAAGAGCTTCAGTCAGAGCACCAGCCTTAATTCACATCAAAGAACTCACACAGGGGAGAAACCCTATCAATGCATGGAATGTGTGAAGGGCTTCAGTCGAAGTGGTCATCTGCATTCACACCATAGGACCCATACGGGGGAGAAACCATATGAGTGCATGGAATGTGGGAAAACTTTCAGTAACAGTGGGTCATGTACTAGACATCAAAGAATTCATGTGGGGGGAAAAAGCATTTAGATCCATGGAAGGTGGAAAGGTCTTCAGTCAGAGTGGGCATCTGAATTCCCATCGAAAAACCCACTCAGGCAAAGAAGCTTGACAAATGCTTGGAACAGGGAAAGACTCAGCTGGAAGGATGATCACCCCTCACAGAAAAGAACCCACACAAAATGGAAAACACACTATGGCTGGACATGAGTTTGTCCCTGTGTATCATGAAGTTGTTCTGGTGTGATGCCATCTCGTTCTTTACATACTTTCATTGGCACCAGCCTCTGAATCTCTTCAGTGTGAAGCCAGGTAGTTCCCCTTAGGGGGAATCCATAGACCGCTTAAGAAAATGGCAGGAATCCAAAGAGTGAATAATTACATGAGAATTAGAAATGGGCATGAACCTGCCTTCCCCTGCCGCCCCGGCTGGACCCCTCCCCCACTCACCAAACGGTGTGTTGCTCATCTCCTCCTCCTCTTTGACTGTTCAACCAGTTCCAGAAGGAGCATGGGCTTCCTTGGCTGATCGCCCGCTCAGACGCGGAGGCAGGACAGGGAACCCACATGCTACTGCCAGGGACTGGTTGAACAGCCGAAGGGGAAGAGTTGAGGAGTGTGCTCTGACTGGCGAGGGGGTCATGAGCTGGGGAGGCAGGAGAAGGGAACGCCTGTAGTATTGCACATATGAACTGACACAAACCTCCGAACCAAGGTTCGTGCCCATCTCTAATGGAAGTCCATCTCTTGTCACTCTAATGTATTTATTTAACTTATATGCCGCCCACACTACCCAAAGGTCTCTGGGCGGCTTAACAGCAATTTAACTACAGTAAAAAAAGATAAAACTATTAAAATACAATTAAAATACAGTACAGTGGTGCCTCGCTTAGCGATGTTAATCTGTGCAGCAAAAATCGCTGCTAAGCAATTTCATCGCCAAGCTATATAAAAAGCCCATAGAAATGCATTAAAACGTGTTTAATGCGTTCCTATGGGCTTAAAAACTAACCTTATGCGAAAATCCTCCATTGCGGCAGCCATTGTCGGTGCCTCTAAAGCAAGGCAACACAGCGGGTGGCCATTTTGGAACCGCTGATCAGCTGGAATGAAAATGGGGGCTTTGTGATGATCGCTTCCCTGCGATCATCGCAAAGCCTCCGCCGATCAGCTGGCCGAAAATGGGGGCTTTGCGATGATCGCTTCCCCACGATCATCGCAAAGCGAATTTTCCCCATAGGAAACATCACTAAGCGATCGCTTTTGCAATCGCAAAAACAGCATCGCAAAGCGATTTTGTCGTAAAACGGAGCGATCGCTATGCGAGGCATCACTGTACTCTAAAAATTGCC